TTGGGAGAAGGTGTCCAAATTCTAGAATCCGCCCTAGTGGRGTCTAAGACAACGTTATCAAGAWKTSCWAWAAGGCTCAAAATATTGTCAAAGTCTGAGTCCCTCAAATCCCTTCTTAGACCCAAGTTCCACCCAATCCCAGAAGTGGAAGAGGACGGGGTGGTAAAAGACAAGATTGGCTCATTTTTCAGATCAGAAAGAGAAAACAAAGAAGGAAACTGATCCTTTAGAGGGGCACTCCCCACCCAAGTTTGTTACCAAAATTTTATGGAGTTACCGAAATTCAAATCATACCTGATATTAGGGGAGAAAAGTGGTAGCAGGTCATGAATGGCTTTCCAAGGAGAATTGCTTGTGGTCCTAGCTCTGATTCCAGCGTCCCATCAATAAATATCAATTTTGCTTCTCTCTCTGAAAATACTCTAAGATTCCTTTCCTTTCAATAGTACCCTGCACATGGAAGCTCTTATGCATCTCCAAAACATCCTACCACTCTTCTTTGGCAAACTAAAAACGGTAGGAACAAAAAGTCCTTGCACATTAGCTGGGGGGGCATGGCAGCTCTTATGCATTCCACAACATCCTACCACGCTTTGGCAAACTGAAAACGGTAGGAACAAAAAGTTCTTGCACATTAGCCGGGGGAGTCCACCTGCACCCAAACAAGTGCAAATTCCTGCTAACTTCAACCTTTTTCTTCCACCAAACTCATGCCTAGTTTTTTATTTGCAAAAGTAACTTGATCAAAAGGGTTGCCCATGCCCTCTTCTCCATTTATTGTTGCCTCACTCTCCTCTCTTGCACAACATATCAACTTATGTATCATCTTTAGAATACTCAAAGCATGGTTGAGTTCATAGCTTTCAAGGTGCCAAGGTGAGGCTAGGCAACGGGGGGGGGGGGGGGGGGGGGGGGGGGGGGGGGGGGGGCCTTGTTGCCTAGGTGACGGATTTATTAAAGTAAAAAACATATACCCTACGGTAGTTCCCGGGGTACCATAACCATATTTCCTTAATAATTATTCATAATTTTCATAAGAAAAGTATAAACTTCAAGTTTAAGTATAGAAAATCAGCATATTTAAGCTTTTCCTTATTGGTTCAGGTTTTGAAGTCTTTGAGGTTTCAATACAGCACTTATAAATGTTTGTGTTGATTAAACCCTAACAAATAAGAAAAAATAAAAAGAAATTAGCATATAAACACACAAAACGCATATTCTAGTTTAATAATGTCTATTTTATAACTATAATCTCAAAAAGTCAAGAATATAAAAGTATTTCATAATACAATGTACAAAACTGCATGGCAATTGGGCGAGGTGAGCTTCCAAAGGCGCTTTGTCACCTAGGTGTTGCCTTGGCAACTATGGTTGAGTTCTATATTTTATAATTTGTCTGTAACCTTCTATCTAAGCTCTCTTACCAATGTCCTCAAAGCAATGTTGTCAAAATCTTACGATTTACGATACGATTCACGATTTGAATCATGAATCCAAAGGGTTTCGATTCAAATCTTATGTCTGAATCCTTTTCTGCAAAAATCTTACTATTTTTGTTTGAATCCTACGATTTGATCCATAAATCTTACGATTTTTACAATTCAAATAAATTCAATTAAGAATTAGTTCTCTACTTTGTTTTTTGTGTATGTTTAGTTTTGTCAGAGGAGACTTTTTTTAAAGCCCTTACTAGAAAATGATTTATTTACATTATTCAATACTAGAAATTGAGTTTAATGTGTATCAAACGTAAGTTAAAGGGCCACTCTATGTAGATTTATTTGATTTTCAAGTCAAACTTGATTATATCATCATAGGCTTCTATTGTATAAGTGGCAAATTCTATTGTTTTAAGTACATATATGGTAGATATAGATTAAAAATAGGGTAAAGTCACTTTTCTAAATACATTTAGCCTTTTAATATGTATCTATATTTATGTTTTTTTGAGTTTATAAAAAATAGAAATAATCTTGCGATTTACAATACGATTCACAATTCAACTTTCTCTACGATTACGATTTTGAAAACATTGCCTCATAGACCATGACAATTTCTGTTAAGATAAATCAAGATGATCATATACCAATTGCAGCTACCAGCTCCAAATCCAAATATCAGAACTTGCTTCTTTCATATTCTCCACAACCACATAAATATTTGCAGCTCTATCATCCATTTAATAATCCCAGTAACAACTTATCTTGCAATTCAAGCAGCCACTCCTAAGAATAATCACTAAAATGATGAATGTCCTTGAGCATTCTTCTCTTATAAAAACATTAAAAAAACTCCATGACAAACTGAAATCTTCTATTCTCAGATCCACCATAGATGTAAACATTTATCTTCTGTTACTGAATTATTTCTTTAAACCAGTACTTGATGTACGTAACGAACTATTGATTACAAAAAACCCATGACTTACATTAGACTTGGACCAAACAGATCTTCCAAGTACACCCCCCCCCCCATTCTCCTTGATCCAAGGATGAGACCCCTTTTCTATCATCTTTATCTAGGCATTAGCTTCAATAGCTATCATCTTCCTCTCAATCTACAATTTTAAATTTTACAATCAAGGCATGCATCTTTTCATACTTCACTTTTGTGACTTGTCTGTGTTGCAGTTGCTGCAGAGGGCTGAGGTATTAGCAGCTCTGGAAGGGGTACAAAGGGCTAAAGATCTAAATGTCAATAGACTGATTATAAAAGGAGACTCTGAGACTGTAGTGAGGTGGTTAAAAGAAGACAACTCTAGGCTGGAACTACAGCAATGAATAGAGGAAATTTAAATGGCTGACTAAAGATATTGAAGTTCTATGCACATGGGTAAAGAGAAATTCAAATTCATTTGCAGATGGATTAGCTAGGCAAGGGGTGAATAGAAATTCTGTTTTTTGGGCTCAGATGTAATTGTTCTTTTTCATTTTGGGTGTATGTCAGCATATTTGGGGAGTTAAGATATTTTAGCTCCCCTCCTCTGTAAGCTTATTCTACTTTAATAAAATCTACTGTAATTGATAAAAAAAAACAACAAGGGAAAGCGTAACTTGGTTGTGTGTGTCATGCATTAAACTTAATAAAGTTCCAATATTTTCAATAAATATAAATTTAGTATCAGAACACCCTGCTACACACATGCAGCCACACCAACCAATAAAAAAATGCATATAATAGCCACAAAACAGAAGATAGATATTAGTTATCTAAAAAAACATAGGATAAATAAATAAATGAAACACAAATTACCGTTCTTGTACTGTATGCCCAGGAGTTCTGCCAGACCATTTGCCTTTCTCCCTTCTCATTTTCAAAGTTTATTTCAAACATTTTTGCAAAATTTTGACCCAAACAATGAGAGGTAGCACCTTGGATACCACGACCAGTATTTGGAATAAATGCCTGAAAAAATAAAAAATAGAGTACAAAAATAAGGAAATGATTACAGTACTTTATAATTAGATCATTAGTTCTTCTAGACATGATGTACAGACTAAAGACAATACACTATGCATAAACATATTAAATACCTCAACACTTGTTGTGTAGAGCCCACCAGCAAACTTCTCAAGCTCACTCTTTTTGCCCTTTATAACAGGAATTGCCAGAAATTCTTCATATATCCTTCTGTACAACTCCAAAATCTCAAGAACCTGAAAAACACACAACACACATAAGAAGGAAGCACATAAGGGAGAAAATAAAATAGAACATATTCTAATACATGAACATGTACTAAAAAAATCCTTGAAAAAGGAAAAGGAAACAAACAGGATAATATTATTTGGACAGAAAACTATAAATTACAGCTTAGATGAAGTAGCTGTTAATTCATGCATAAAACCAAAATTTCAAAGATGCATTTCACACTTTATCATTTCCGTCCAGAAAAAAGACGGGCTTGCCAAAACAGAAAGAAATGGGAAAGGTCCAAACCAAGGTTTAATGTATCGATGCACCTGATATGCACAAATAAGCGTATCGGGTGTTTGATACTACAGAACATCATTTTTTTGTTTATTTTCTCAAAATTGGTCAGGGGGCCAGTCTTACGCCTGCCAACCCCATGAAAATAGCCAAAATCCCAAGCGCTTTATATTTCAAGTATTGATGGCTTGCCAATAGGATATGATATGCCTGATATGTGGTGTATCATGCCAATATTTAACCTTGGTTCAAACTGATCCCATCACTCAGTTTAAACTTTAAACCATCAAAAAGAATCCAAATGCAAGAGTTTTAGTACCAGTAGAAAACTTACTCAATTAGCTAGCCAATAAAGCTAACCATGTGCAACTTAGACCTGATCTCAGATATCCAAGGTAATTAATAAAAGAATACTCATCAATGGCTGAACTACTGATCAAGTGGGGCAAGGGGGGAGCGACTTAACTCCACCTGCACCCTTTCAAACCTTCCTTTACACTTTAAACTTGCACTGATAACTCCTCCCTGCTACATTTATTTTTTCTTAGGTAAACAAGACAAATTGTACAATTGGGTCCTTTCCTCACTTTTAATAAAGCTAAGATTGTTTTTTGGATAGTTAATGCATGTAATTATATTCATAATCAAATGTCCATGTTATCCAAAAAGAGATAGCAAGAACAAGTACAAAGCAGCTTACAGTTGTCTACTAGCATAATTACTATTACAAAAGGATTACAATTCATTCCAGTATTGGCATTCCCAGAATCATGTTTTGCCTCATACCTCCAGTTTTTACAAATGGTCAGCAATTAGCAGTCCTTAGAATCCACCTGAACAAGCAGTTCAGTTTATTCCCAAAAGCTTTGGCTCCTCCGAACATGAACCTGAAAGTCCAGGGAATCTCTTCATCCAAAACATAACCAAGAGATAACTACTTGACAGACCCCTTCCAAAATTAAGTTCCTCCAATCCTTCAATTTCACCAGGTTGAGACCTTGAATACATCCTTGTTAGACGGTGCATGCCCTTAGCTCCAATCAGATTGATGTACATAAACCATTATCAATAAATTAAAAAAGTATATTATTGTTTCATGTTCTTATGGTATGTTTTCTATGAATTACTCCTTAAACTGGACACTTATAAGTCTCGTGTTAGTTTAGAATGTTTTCAATCATTGGATAGACTTGGGAAATTTATCCTGACAAGGTTGACACTAGTATGCTACCAAACTGGTGGAGCAACTTGTCTTAGCTGCTAGGGTTAGTCCCCAAACACAACCAGTGGGTGTTTACAAGAAACACTAAACCTAGACCAATTTCTAGTTATGCCCTAAAGCATAGAACTTAGAGATATATAGGCAACTGAAAAGTTGCACTTAACTCCAAACTTCATTATGACATTGCACTGGGTATTGGACTAAACAGTCTTTGATGTGCAAATCGATGAAATCCATCAAGGGTCAAATACCTGGGCATGTTGGGGAAGTTGGGGAAATTACCTAAGTGGGTGATCATAGTAATAAGATCGACCCCTTAGTCAAACAAAGTGAATATTAGGCTTTACACTCTCTATAATGGAAACCTAAACTATTGGTAGTGGATTTCAATTGTATTTGAAATTTGATTTGCAAAATATATTTATATGTTATATTACTATTTTATGAAAAAAGTTTGCAAAAAGTTTTAATTCCGGGATCCATCCGAGATTACAGAGTTGATTAGCTGATGGGATTTATCTTACATAAGTCCATTATCCTTGTGTCTTCATAGAGTGGTTGAATCCAATGATCATTTAGGTGTAAATGTTGGGCACAAATTGAGCCCAAACTGATTGGGTCAGAGGGTCACTACCCTGAGTAATGAATTCGACCTAACCTCTTCTAGAGGTAGAGCCAAACCCTTATCGACTTGTGTGAGACCTATGGGTCCCACACCATACAATATTCAGGCCCAAAGTGGCCATGCAACACCTTGGGATGTGAACCATTAGAGAAAATGGGCCTAAAGGCCCATTTCCAATATGATTAGTTAAGTGATCACATGACAACTTTGTCATGTGACTTGGGTTGAAAATGGGCATGGATCCAGGTATGGAGCACCTATCCTCTTAAGAAGATAATGCTTATCAATTAAAGATAAACTCCTTATACAAATATAATTTGGATCAACTCCTAATTAGATTAGGAGAGTGCCCCATATAAAGGAGAAAGAGGAGAGAGTCCAATTGAACCCAGTGATTTAAAAGGCGCGCCTAGGCACATTTTAGGGTAAGCACCTCGTCCAAGTCCTAGGCACCTAGGCGTGCGCCTTTTGAAAATTTGCTACCTTTTCCTTTTTTTTTGAGTCTGGCGGCTGGGCCGGGGGCGGCCAGCCCAAACAAGTCCATGTTCAAGAATCCCCTATTTGGTAATGTTGTCCATTCATTCATCCTAATAAAATTTCTTAAAAGCAATTAAAACTATAAAATTATTATCTTTTGTGTGAAAACTTAGAATTTAAGAGCTTAACATGGACTTGTTTGGGCTTGCCTCGCCTTGCGCTTTTAAAACACTAATTGAACCAATTCTCTCCACTCTCTTGCTCTCTTCTCTTCTCCCTTGTCTCCAAGAAACCCTAATTCGACCTAGCCTTGATAAGGGCTGATTTTTATCAGTCCTCCATTAGAATTTTGCAAGAAATACATCAGGGTAAATCAGGTTCACATACCCTTTTTGATCCAAGCAAGTTGGAGACCGGTTTTTGCCGAAACGGTGTTCTTGAATCGGTTTCACATACACACTACATCATCATCAGTGGGAGGCTGATTTTGGGATTGATAATGGGTGTGAACTACCACTCTGGGAGCTACACACTGTGGTCTCCGTATCAGGTACGATTAGTTTTAATTTGGGTTTTAAATATGGTCTAATTCTGTGCAAGATAAATCCCAAAATTTTAGATTTCAAAATCACTGGGACATCGGTCCTCAGGTTGGGTTAGAAAATTTTTTAAAATTCGGCCAGCAACTAAACCTGGTTCGACCATGTCAAATCTGATTTCTACCCTTCCAACAATCCTTCAATTTGCTCGTAGTGAATTACCATATCCTGCTACTCCCCCATTAATAAAGTTATGAATTAACATTGCTCTTAAAAAAGACAACCACTCCAACCAAATTTGTTTCATATCATCACAAAACACAAATACCACAAGGTCCCCATCATTCCATGAATGCTTTAATTTCGAATCTTTTTTTATTTAATTTTTTTACGAAATGATTGTTTTGGTATGTTGATGATTTTTTTTGGTATTTAAAACAACACATTAATAACTCACAAAGGCATGTGGTAATAGCGAGACTCGAATCTGCAATATCAGCTGGGACTACCCAGCTAATGTACCAACTGGCCACCACTCAGATACTCATCCATTTCAATATCCTCGTCTGAGCTATATTCATTCTACAACCATGTCTTTCCTTGTGACTGGACACAGCATGTCCTATAGACAATTTCACTTTCAATTTAATTGCTTGCATCAGACGCAATGCACTTGAAGCACATCTTCTTTTCATCTACCCACTCTAGATCAATCAGCCACATGCACTGCAATCTCTTGATTACTATGTAAATCATCTAAAAGAGCAGTCGTGCATCTTACAGCTGAAAATGTGTTCCCATGGAAGAGAATAAAACTAGAGTTTTATTTACGATTTAGATCTAGAAGTTGGGGGATTACAAAAATTTGATAGTTGGATGAAATTGAGGATAACAGGGACAGGCTGATATGCATAGTTTTAGGAAGGACCGTTGATTGGTTGTTAAGTAAAAATCAAGGATAACAGGTTAACCCATCAAGTGAGAGAGAAGAGGGGATGAAAAGAAGGAAATGACAAAATTCAGGATCCTCACAACAAATACAATACAAGTTCTGAACTTGGAGCAAACACAAGTTAACATAAAAGAGTTGACCTCAATTCTAAACAAACACATGCATTAAAGAGATGCAAGAAATAAACTATTGAACAAATTCATACCTCTGCATCAGCCTCATCCTTGGTTGCAAAAGCTGTATGCCCTTCTTGCCAAAGAAATTCGCGACTCCTACAATGGTGAAGCATGGCATGTATATCTTAGATAATGCAAGGGCAAAATGGTTCAACCAAGTCTTTGTCATTTCTAGTAAAAAAATGAGTGTTCTTTCATTTAAAAGTCGGAAGTCCATCACGTAATGCAAAATATAAATATGATGCCAAAGGTAGACACCATGGAGATCTAACTAGATTGAGAAAGCTAATCTTCCTTTCTAGTTACTGAAGATGGTTTGATAATGAAAATTCCTCAGAAGGTAAGCAACCAAACTAACCTTTAAACAGACAAGAGATGCATCCAAAACATATATTTAAGGTTCAAGTTCAGAATCTAACATGCATACAGTTCCACTCTCAATACTTTGTGATTGCTGATCCAAAAAAAATACAGTTCCACCCTCAACAAATCCACCCAAAAATGATATACAAAGCATATGGAGATTAGATTAGTATACTTATTTTTCAATATTTACTTACACAATATACTTTTGTTGCACCTTGCATGTAGATGGTGTAACAATAAATAAAAGAACAAGTTAATGCTTAATCATAAATTAATGCTAACAACACAAAATGGGCAGCCCAATGCATGAGACTCCAGCCAATGCAGTCTGGGGAGGGACAGATGTATGCAGCTTTACTCCTGCTGATTCACAGAGAGGCTTTTACCAAGATTTGAACCCTGGTCACCCAGGTTGCAATGGAGCAACTCAACCATTGCACCAAGGCCCACCCTCTAACAAACTAATCAAGTACTATAAATTTACAATTCATTTCCCAAGACTTAGCCACTCGAATCAATATTCCATTCTCAAGTTTTAGCCAAAAATGTAACATTCTATAATCATCTATCACAAACTGGGCATGGAGACAAGTCCCAAGGCATGTTGTGTCATAATTCATGTCCACGTATATGGATTCCCAAACAATTTAGGCCTTGAGATTGTCCAAGTAATAGCATAAAACAGGGAAAACCAGACACAAAACGCCGGTGCTGGACCTCATGGTGAAGTTAAAGAACAAAATAGCCAGACTATCTAGTCCAATCAAAGGCAAGTATTGATCCGAACATCTTAAAACTTATAAAGGGACCATCACAACACCACCACACCCCTAGCTATAGTTGAAGATATTTTAAACCAACTCATCAAGGGTTCAAGTAGTGGTATTAGCTTATAAAGAACTTATTAAGGGGCATCTGCATCTCATCAACAGCATTAGTGGAAAAGAAAAGCAACAAAAATTAAGAGATCCAGAAAGAAATACCTTATGAATGGGGTAGGATGGCTGAACTCCCATCTAACAACATTGCACCACTGATTAAGCTTTAGAGGCAAATCACGGTGTCCTCTAATCCACTTGGAATAATATGGATACATAACAGTCTCACTTGTTGGACGGATTGCTATATGGACATCCAGATCAGTACTTCCAGACTTGGTAACCCAAGCAACCTGAAAGAAAGAATGGTTAGAAAAGTTGGGGCAGCCATACATGAAGGCAGTGTTTTAAAAGCGCAAGGCGCAGGGTTCAATTTGCACCCGAGGAGCAAGGCACAAGGCAAGGTGTGCACCTTTTTGAAGCAAGGCACAAAAATAAAAAACAATGCCAAAAAATTCAAAAAAAAACAAAAAATATTAAACATAATATTAATAAAAAATATAAAGTTACCTTTTAAAATAAAAGTTTTAAAAAACCTATTATCTAAATTTTTTTTGATAAATAACCTATTATCTAAAATTAAAATACATAAACATAACATGTAAAACATATTTAAATGAGAATTTAAAAATAAAATCAAACATATAAAACATTTTCAACCATGTAAAACCCACAACCTCTTTTTTTCTTCAATTGCATTACTTCAAGTAGCTAATGTGATGTAAAACATATTATATTCTTGATTCTACAAGCAGTCTTTGTGCCACGCCCCTTGAGGCAAGCCCAAACAAGTCCATGTTAGGGCTGGCTTCAAGGGGCGTGGCATGGGGGTCCAGAGGCTCCACCCCCGGCCTAACCGAAAGCAAAAAATCGTCAAATTTTCAAAAGGCACACACTTGGTTTGAGGCTCAAGGCGCGTCAGGCACATGCCTAGCAGCACTAGGTGTGCACCTTTTAACTTTTAAATCGTTGGATGAAAGCTTAGATGTTGTTAGTGATTTAAAAGGCACACCTTGCACCTCAGCCCAAGCGTGCGCCTTTTGAAATTATGACTTTTTTTTTTTGAAAATATGCCTAGCCGCACTAGGCTTGCTTTGGTCGCTCGCCTTTGCTTCAACACCCCCCCTTCAACTAATGTTGTGCATCTTTATTCTTCTTAATAAAAAAGATTTTTATTAAAAATAAAGAAAAAATGAGACCCCCCCTTCCTCTTCATCCTCCTCCCTTTCCTCCTCCTAACCCCCCTCCTCTTAAGGAGGCTTACTATCACAGGGTGACACAATGGGTTGCTAGGCTAGAGGTTTTCTAGATGTGTTTTTAGGCTTCTAGCCAATTCTGCATATTTCTAGGGTGTTCTGGAGTGTTCTCCATGTGTCTAGAAGGGTTCAGATGTTGGTGGAACTCTCTAGAACCTTATAGAACAATCCGGGTTTGTGTGAAACAACCTAGAGGGGTTGGGAGCAATCTAGATTTCCTCTAGAGTGTTCTTGTATCTTATGGAGAAGGCATCCCCTAGAAGAGTGAAGAAGGTAGAATGTTCTAGAGGTGCTTCTAGATGATGCCAAGTATTCATAGTTCTAGAGAAATCCTTTAAGGAGGTGGAAGTGCCTATAGAAGGGGACCCCCTCCCTCATTTGCATTCAACCAAGCAATCAAGTGTTGTATCCCTCTCTTGAGAAATACAAAGAGTTCTTTTGAGTTCTCCATCTCTCTTTCCTTGTGTGCTTTGCACCTTTCTTGCCTAAGTGTGTTCCTTAGTGTGAAGGACAAGTTGGTAAGCTACTTGGTCTCAAGAGCCAGGAGAGTGCTCTAAGTAGGGAAGGCTGACTTGTGGAGCGACAGACTACTACCCAAGTGCTGCACGAGACACTAGAGGAGACTAGGTCCGTGAAATTACGCTTCCTTGTGTTCGGGAGACTTACGCCTCTTGTGTTCTAAACTATGCCTCACACCTCTAGGTAGTGGAACGCCTCGCGTCACGCCTCCGCATTTTAAAACATTGTTCACACCACAAACCTACCTCAACATAGCAACTCACCAACCACTCGATTCACACTAAAACACCCATACAATCCACCTATTAGATCACCAAAGAAACCACCTGCACTCGACTGTCCACTACACCACCCAAAACAACCCTCTTTGTACCATTGATTAGAGGGTGCCCTACAAACCACCACAAACACCCACTAAACCACCAACTGAAGGCATGAAAACCTCCAACGTGAAAGGGCGATCACTCCTTTTCAGCCCTTTTCCTTATCTCCAACTGATGATGCAAAAATCTGGAAAACCCTAGGCTGAATGGCGGTAAAGAGAATTCTGGGCAGATCTGAATTTGTCACAGTTGCTCTGATACCATGGATAAAGTTCAGGCCTGCACTAGAATTCAATAAGAAATAACAGTAGCAGAAAACTAGAAAGGATAGAGAGAAGAAGAGAAGAGAAGAGAAGAGAGGAGAAGGAAAAACTGGTTCGATCTAGAGAGAGAGTTATATTCTCCCTAGTCAGCAAACTGTATTTATACTTTTCTAATGAAAAACAAAAGGTCTGTTGTGCCCCTACTTAAGTATGGGACACATCACTTAACTTAAACATGACACCTCACACCAAACATAAACAAATTGACAAAATTACCCCTATATAGTCGACACTAACAATATGTTTGATTTTATTTTTAAATACTCATTTGAATATGCTTTACATGTTATTTTTATGTATTTTAATTTTAGATAATAGGTTTTTTAAAACATTTATCTTAAATTATAAGTTTATATTTTTTATTAATATTATTTTTAATTTTTTTTTGCATTTTTTTAATTTTTTGGATTTTTTCATTTTTCTGACTTTTTTTATTTTTTAGCTTTTTTTTAATTTCTGTGCCTTGCTTCAAAAAGGTGTGTGCCTTGCACCTCATGCACAAATTGACCCCTGCACCTTTTTTGCGCCTTGCGCTTTTAAAACTCTGGATGTTGCCAACAAAAAAAAAAGGATGTACGCTTAGATGAATCAATGCAGAATCAATGTCTTAAAAAAAGGGCAGCATCAAATTGTAGTATCAAGTTGAACCAAAACCAGAGATGGTAGCATAATAATTGTCATAGATGTTTGGTTCATGAATTTAACCAAGATGATGTAAAAGCATGCAAAACAATTAAACCAGAGAATTCCAGCCAAAACAAAAGGAAAGACCAAATTGTCTGTTTCAACAATAAAATGGTTTCTTTATTTTTAATTCATTGGAGCCACGAATGATTGATTTTTCCTAGGGTCAGAGAGCAGTTGAATCAGATTGGAATGAGCCAAGCTAACTTTATGTATGATTCTATTCTTCTTAAGGAAAAGGGTTTGAGAACCAACCAATCTATTGCTTATCAAGGAAAATATCTTTAAAAGAAGGATGTGAAGTTTTTTATTGGTATGTATTGCATAAGCTTTTCTATTTTTAACCAAGAAACACAAGTATTTTGTTTAACAACTATAGGTGTCAGTAAAGCAGAGAATTTTTCCTGCAGCTAAGGAACATTTTCATCATTGCCAGTTACAGAGTGTCTTCAGAAAATACTCATCTTTAGGTTTCTTAACTCATGCCAACGAACTCAAAGTTCTCACCTCTGGAGCGAAACCTTCTATGTGATCCTTTTCACGTTGCAGAACACCAGGAGATACAAAAAGAGGGAAATAGCAATTTTTTATTTTCATCTTCTTTATTTCTGCATCAAAGAAGGTCTGCACAATGACAGCATTAGAAGATCAACAAAATAAAATGAAAAAATGAAAATGAAATAAAAAAACAAACAACAGAGCCAAAAAATAAAGGCATGGAATAAAAGGAGATAAAATAAAAACAAAAGAAAACAAATGAGCTTTAGCTCCATGCAGACAATACATCTAAAGCATTATAAGCCTAGAGTAACCACCCAAAAAGGACATAAGGTACTACTTTGACCTGAAGCACTAACTATTCCAATAACCATCCACTCGAACAAAAATGGACATACAAATGACAATATAAAGGACTTTATCTATAATCTATTCACACCTAAAGTTAACAAATGCTTAAGATAACAGGTCAAAGACAGTAAAAAAAGCACGGTATCTAGTGTCACATGTCAACCACAAAGCACACAAGGGTCTAAAAGCTGTCTCAACTCACTTGCATAGTTTCCCAAATTGACATAGCCCATGGCCTTAGAATGTAACAGCCAGAAATGTCATAGTATTCAATCATTTCACTGCTAACAACAACCTGAAAAAGAAGCCAAATGAGAATGAAGAACATTAAATCAAAGTATGCAATCTTTTTCACCATTGGAACACCTTGTACAAGTGACAAACCAAAATATGATTAAATGCATATAGATAATGTATGCATTTATTAAGAAAAGCATAACTTCATTGTATAAATAAAGAATTTGTGCCTTTCTATATTTGGAAAAAAACAGGGGAAAAAGAATAATGTGTCAAACGTGTATGGATACCTCAGAATACCACTCTCCAAAATTGTCATCCTTCTTATTAGAGAGACCAAGACCTGTTTCTTTTTTAACTTCTTTCTTTTTCCCCCCTGGGTAGAGAGAGACAGAGATCAGCACTGCAATAACCAGAAAAACAAAGGACAAAGAACATACAAAGACATCGTAGAGCAATAACTTACCACCCTTTGCATTGCTGTTAGATTTCTTTGCCTCATCAGCCATATTCTTCAGTGACTTTAATCCGAGGTAATATATATCCTAAAAGTAGAAATACCATATAGTTTGTAGTTTGTAATTATAACTCTAAAAGGTGAAAGAAGCAGATATATACTATGGTCAAACCAATTCATGAGAGACCACTAACAACATGCAAACACCAGATTTGTTTAAAAACATACCAAATACCAAATCAATGTATCTAATCATTCAATCAATTATTTCAAAAACGTGATGAAACAGAAAACAGAAAAACGTTCACCACACGAACAATCTAATCAAGAAAACATACTAATATACTAGAATTTTAGTTACGGGCCTTACCGCTATCAGATTGTGACAGGTAACAAGCAATTAAAATACAACAAAATACTCGCCAATCCAGTATTAACTATTTAATTAAGCAAACCACAAATCCATATCGAAGATAACTCCCCAATTCGCATATAACGAAGCAAAACCAAATTAAAATCTCAGAAAGAAAGTCAAAATGACTTTCCAAAATAAAATAAAAACTTGGATGTACGAAAATACAAAAATCAAGGAATTCAATATTTGAAAGTATAACCCTTCTCTTCTACTGACCAAATCTGCGTTTATTATCACATAAAGGGGCGTAAAACTTTTCACAGGGAAACAACTCAGCTCTGTTTTTGCCCCTTTAGCTGAAGATCTTTCAAGGTGAAAACTCCGGCTTTACATCAAAACAAGCATAGCATAAGGAAAAAATGGAAGAAGTTGAGAACAAAGCTCAAGAAGAATTTAGAGAACAATAAGAACTAAAAATGCGAATAATCTAGAGATTCGTACTACTGGAGTGCTCGAGCTTGACCCAACTAAACGTGAGTCGTCACTCATTTTGGGAACCCCAACCTGTACAGCAAGGAACGACGGGAACTAACAAAGCCCGGGAGGAATACAGAAAATCATCAGAGTCTACGGAAAAGCCACAGAGAGACAGCGGATCCCTAACCACAACCGACCAGAAACAGAGAGACAGAGAGCTCACCTACTCAGTTTTGACTATACTACTGCTCCTCTCCGCTGCCAATCCTGCCGCAGAAGAAATGGAGAGATCGTGAGCGTCTTCCGCCAAAGTGATGATAGGCTCCCGTCTGAACTAAAAACCTAAACAAAAACCCTTCTATTTGGCCCGATTGTTGAAAAACAACGTTAGGCAAAGAAGTGATTCGGGCACCTTTTTTTATTCGGGCACCCCCAGCCCCATGTGAAATGCTTGCTGAACGGTTGACTTCCTTATGTAAGAGCAATTAAAGCCACTCACTCCATCTCACGTTCATGCGTTGAAAATTTAAGGATTATCTAAAAGTTCCCTTGAGTTTGTCTATTTCTCTTAAATATACCCAAACTTTTCAATTTTTCTAAAGCCGTCTGCTTTTTGAAATAAACTATTTTTGCAAAATGACAATTTTAACCCGGGTGCTCTCTCTCACAAGTCACAAGTGGTATCTATTTTCTCAGAAAAAAAAGCATTTCAAAAATAGTTACTCCCATTCAAGGTTCAAAAGATTGACACGTATCAGCCTATACATGTCATATCGGGAGCACTCTGATACGTCTCTACAGAGGGTGTATTGGGGTTTTGACCAGTTAAGGGGTGGAGGGACCTTAAACCTGCCCCTCTGAATCGGATTTGAAAAAAAAATTAAAAAAATACCAATATTGCTCGATATGCCAACGTATCAATATTTAGAACCTTGCTCTCATTCTCAAACAAAAGCTTCTTCTCTCATATATGTGTCTAACCACTCAAAAAAAAAAAGTGTGAATTAGGGGTAAGCAAAAAAACTAAAAAATCAAACCGAAAAATCAGTTAACCGACGATTCAATATTTTTAAAAAAGTTAAATTATAAAGACCTTCTTGTACTATGGGATCTGTGATAAAGACCCCCTTTACTTTGTTTTGCAACAAAAACCCCCTGTACTATGACCGTGAAACAAAAATCCCCTTCTGTTAGATTTTCATTGAAATCCGTCGTTACACTATTTTTTAATCCCCATACTATTCATTTTCCCCGACCTCATATACACAAACAGTAGGATAGATAAGGGGAGAGGGAGATTGGGGATTACCACCACTGCTGTTCTCTACCTAGCAATATTTTTCCCTCAATTTGTTCACCGCGTCTCTGTATTTTTCCTCGGCATCAGATCCGATTTTGTCCTTAACATGTTTCCATGAGCGAATCACTTTGTCCCACACGGACAATGTGTTCATACTTCTCCCCTTTCTCTATCGAATTCAACTTCTGAATCTCCTCTACGTTATCTAAACAAGGTATATACTCCGTCATACTCTCCGGACACAGCTCAAATCTCTCAATCTTAAGCTTAGCCTTACCTTCTCCGCTGCCGCCACCATTTCCGTCATCCCCCCTCCCATCCTGTCGACTCAAATTGCCCAAACTCTTAATCAACTCCGGATCAAATTCACCTACCTCAAATTCCTCCAACAATGTCCCAGTCTCATCCAAAATCTCCGTTTTATCCACCGCAGCCGGCGGTGGTGGCGGCGGCAACGTCAATGTCGGTAGCGGTGGTGGTGGCAGAGGAGGATTCGTAGTCTAAAGTTTGATTGGGTGTGATAGAACCAAGACCAAATGTTTTGTTGGCGTTGGGAGAAAGAGCCACAGATGGGGTTTGAGCAATAACTAGCTTTTGCTAGCGGGAGCTAAAGAAGATGAGCTGTTGGTACCCATCTGAGTAGTGCCTTCCAAGGTAAAACAGAGCAAAGGAAATGAGAACGAAAGTTTAGACCTTCGTGAAAAACGAAGCTCTAAGGAATTCTGGGATGTTAAAGCCTTTCATGGCTTCATGAACCCTTCTTCCAGAGAAGAATAAGAAGAATTAGAGAGTGCTTGTTCAGAAGAAAGTTTAGAATATTCTTTTATCTCCTTCGATCCAAAGTTTTGTTTGTGTGAGAAGAAAACTAGAGAAGAGAAATCTACGTTTTTTTTCCTCGTTAATGTGCCTGTCGAAACTCGAAAAGTGGCGAGCTAGAACTGATCTCGTTATCTGTTGCAGAGACCAGGGATTACTTTGCACAAGCTCTCTAGACCCAACCAATGGGGCCCATTTAATACCGCGTCCAATTTTAAGCATATTTGATGGGGAAGAGATTTTATATACATATATATTTATTTACATTCGTACTCTCTCTCCTGAAACTTCATCGCTGCCTCCATGAAAACTACTTCCATCGTATTTGCCGAGACACACAGATACTCTCTCCTCTCATCTTCGCCCATTCTTCTAAGAGATCGGAGGAAAATGTGGATCTGCTGTTCGTGTACGGTGAGTTAGGGAAGATGAACTGTGTTTTTCTCCCAATTGTTTATAAGGGTAGTATGGGCATTGCAACAACAAATTTCAACATAAAGCTAACGGAAGGAGGTTTTTGTCTCACCGTCATAGTACAGGGGGGTCTTTGTCATAAAACAAAGTACAGGAGGTCTTTATCGTAAAACAAAGTACAGGGAGGGGGCCTTTGTCATAGACCCCATAGCACGGGGAGGGGGTCTTTATAATTTACCATTTTAAAAAACATAAGGTACTAGCTTGGTTTCGGTTAACCAATATAAAAAACCATCGGTTAACTGAACCGACCGGTATACATATTCTATATATTTTACATATATTTATAATAATATTTTTATATATTATAAATTAATAAGTATGCATTATATATATAAATATATATTTGTAATATATGATATATTATTTATTAATTAAAATATAATATTATATATATTTATAATTATTTATTATATTTTTATAATATATTATAAAAATTGAAAAACTGAAAAATTGATCAACCGAATCGACAGTTAACTAAACCGATCAACCAGTTAACCGATTGATTTTGACTACTGGTTTTCCAAAAACCAGTACGACCTGTTCGGTCCTAAAAAATGCCCCCATGATTCGTTTAACTGAATCGTGAACCCCTAGTGTGAGCAAATGGTAGTTAGGGTTAGTGGTAGTTATTAGTTAACTCCACTAAAAGGGAAAAAACCAAAAGCTCATTTCAAATGACATAGGATCCATAAAATGGATTATTATATAAAAATAAACTTTATTTAATCTATTCAATTAAATAACAAATCGATGTATCAAAAATATCAAACAAAATCATAAACCTAAATTTACAACATAAAAAATTGAGTGTCAAACAAATTTTATCAAAATACAAAATTCAGAATATTGGCCCTATACTTAATACAAGGGGTCATACTCTAGTGTAATATTAAAGGAAACTTCTCAAACTAGACAACCTCTCCCTAAAAAACATGGCATTTTATTTCTTAAAAAAAAATAGTGTAGAAGAAGTAGGAACTTTCCACTCTCAAATACAAGATTTATTCCTTAGACATGTGTTTATCCACTCTTAGAAGAGAGAGAGAGAGAGAGAGAGAGAGAGAATAGTTAACTCCACTCAAAAAAAATGATAACTTTAGACATATGGCTACCCACATAAATAAAAAAAAAAACGTATCTACTCCAAATGATGTGGGGCTCAAGGTAACATTTGTAATATAATTTTATAATTTAAACAAACGAGTAACCATAGAAACTTTTATATTACAAATTAAACTTATTTTTAATTATTTAGAATAAATAAATAATCAAATTAAATGTAATCATCAGATAATAGAGATTCTCAAATTAAATAATTTTATTATAAGAAATTAAAAAAGCATAGGTATAGTTCATACTTAGTATGGGGTCATTCTCTAGTATGTATTAATTTCACAATTAATTCCAAGTAAGGCTTTCAATGGACTAGGTTTGGTTTGGATCCAATTTGAAGCTAACCCAATTATAATGGATTTGGGTGTTTGACTTGCCTTATTGGGTTGGAGTGAACAAAAAATCCAATATATTATTGGATTGAATATATAATCAAATTAGATCAAATCCAAATTGAATAAAAAACAAATTAAAAGTGAAATTTATACTATATATAAAAGTTTGAATGTAGTGTGAATCTCTTTTTGGACTAAAATTACCATCTATTTCTTTGTTTGAGAAATGGTGTAAAAGTTATTTTATTATAACTTTAATGTCAACCAAGGTTCAAAGTATTGATACGTGTCGGCCGATACGTATCGTTCTGGCACCACACCGATACACCCCTACAGTGGGTGTATCGGTGGTCTGACCGGTTCAGGGTGTGGCGAAATATATTAATAAATTAATGTCATCAATTAACATTTGGGTGAAATATATTAACATTTAATGTCATAAATAAATAATAAAAATTAATAATTTATAAAACATATAAAAGATGAAAAAATGCTTAAATGATGCAAAAAAAATAGGCACATGTATAATATTAATTAATTATCGTATTAAACAATAAGTAAGTGCGACATATCAGAATTATTTTTACGTAGAAATATAAAAAAAATTGAACACATATATAATTCTATATTTACACTACTATTAAAAATATAATTGAGATTATGAAACTTTCTTTTTGACTAAAATCAATGTTTTAAAAACCGACCCAAAGACAAATCGCTTTAGCTTCCGGATTCCGAATCAACAATTTAACTATCCAGTTTGAGTGGGCCAAACTGGTAAGATGTAAAATGTAATATTGTAACTTTTTTTTACTATTAAGTTAGGATTAAGTTAAAGTCCATCGTATATATACCATTATTATGGGAGGGGAGTGTATGACTTTGAGAAGGAGGTGGCTAGTTAAAGTTGAGAAGTGAGAAAGAAGAAGAAGAAGAAGAGAAGGAAGTGTCACCGGAGGAGGTTATCACCATGTTCATCAAGCATTGTTGCATAATTGTTTGCCTAAGAAGAAGAAGAAGGAATCGGCGATATAAGTTATCTCCTTGTTCATCACCACCACCGCTACAACACCACTTGCTCTCTTCTTACATCTCTCTAAATTTCTCTCAAATCCCTAATCATTTGATTCATTGGCGTATCTCATATTTTAATATAAGATTGGTGTTTGTTCTCTCATCTCTTGCATCAATTTATTCATTGGAGTTGCAATTTTTTTATTGTTACAATTTAGAAAGAATCATAGAAATGAGAAAACTCGGAATCACAATGGAATAACTAAAACCTTAACTAATTGTAGCCATTGGGAATAATCATACAAGATTTTGAGGTATGAAAGTTTCTTTTGTCATTTTTTAATTTCTTAATTTTTTATTTTTAAAATAAATAAAAAAAGTTTTTT